GGGCCGTGTCCCCGGTCTGTGGGGTGTCCCCGGTCTGTGGGGAGCGCCTGTGGGGAGAGCCAGCATCCACTCGGCTCCGAGCTGCTTCCCAGGAGGGGGGTGGCTGGTTCCTTGCCCCCCCCCCCCCCCCGCTGCAGGGTCGGGGCTCTGCCATTCAGAGTCTCTGGTCCCCCGCTTCCTCTGGGCTGGCTGACACCCCTCTTGGGGACGGGGAAGGGCCCCGTGCCAGGCCCCGCTACCTCCCTGCCGCTGGGAGCCGCTGCAGGAATGGGGTCCGCACCCACGGAGTGGCTCCCCTGGACAGCCGCCCCTCATTCCCACGCTCGCCTGCACGGTGAGGCCCCTCTGAGTGCCCCCCCCATAACCCCCCTGCCCCCCCACAGCCCACTGCTTTCCAGATGACCCTCAGCCTGGGCCCCGCACCCCGGCCCTTCCCGCCATGGCCCCCTAACTTCTCTGTGCTGCCTGGGGCCCCCCCTCACCTCGGCCCTTCCTGTCGCAGCCCCCTAACTTCTCTGTGCCGCCTGGGGCCCCCCTTCACCCCTGCCCTTCCTGCCGCGGCTCCCTAGCTCCTCTGCCGCTGGGGCCCCCTGCACCCCAGCCCTTCCTGCTGTGGCACCCTAGCTCCTCTGTGCTGCCTGGGGCCCCCCATACTCTGGCCCTCCCCGCCGAGGCCCCTTAGCTCCTCTGTGCCACATGGGGCCCCCATGCACCCCGGCCCTTCCCACCACGGCCCCCTAATTTCTCTGTGCCGCCTGGGGTCCCCCTGCACCCCGGCCCTTTCAGCCTGGCCCCCTAGCCCCTCCGCTCCCAGGGCCCCCCGCACCCCGGCCCATCCCACCTGGCCCCTAGCCCCTCCGCCGCCTGGGACCCCCCGCAACCTGGCCCCCTAGCCCTCCGCCGCCTGGGGCCCCCCGCGACCTGGCCCCCTAGCCCTCCTCCCCCTGGGGCCCCCCGCGACCCGGCCCCCTAGCCCTCTGCTGCCTGGGGCTCGCCCTCCTGGTGCTCAGCAAGTGACAGGACTCGGCCCCACCCGCGTCCCTCCCCTGCTGTGGGCCCCCTCTGTCCTGCTGCTGGACTCTGGTGGGAGGAGTCTGCCCCAGCGCCTCTGGCCTGTGCCCCTGGTGCCCCCGGGTGGGGCCCTGAGGTGCCCCTGGGCCCGTCCCTGTGTGCCTGTCCGAGCGGCGGGTGCCTGTGCGTTTCTCGGCCAGCCATTGCTGGTGGGGGGCGGCCCCCAGCCGGCCCCCTGGAGACCTGCCAGTGGGGGCCTGTGCAGGCGAGGGCCTGGTGGAGGTGTGTGGGGCCCAGCCCTGCTCCCTGCTGCTGCCCCGACTCCCGGAACTTGCCCGCGTCCAGGGCCCTCGGAAGCAGTGTCCCTGCACACCATGCCGGGTTCTCTCCACACACCCCTTCTCGTGGGAAGGTGAACTTCACTTTTTTGGGTGGCTTGCTCCTTCAGAGCAGACTCAGAGGCACGGAAGGGCGGCGCCCCTCGCCGGCCAGCCCTGTCTGGTGTTCTGCTCACCTTCGGTGCCCATGAACTGTGTCCACCCCGAGAGAGCGCTGGCCCGGCGACCTCCCCCGGCCCTGCCAACGCGGGAGAGTGCACCTGCCCTGGGCTCCCTGCATCTGTGGGGGCCTTCCTGGGTGTGTACCCGCCAACGGGGGCCCCAGCTGCACTTGGGGTGCACCTGCCTAGGTTTTGGGCTGAGCCCCGTAGAGCCCAGATGGAGACAGCTGCCCACGCTTCTGCCAGATGCCGCTTGGTGATGCTCATGGCCTGAGGCGGCACAGGGGAGGGCCCTGCTCGCTCTGCCCGGCTTTCTGGCAGCCTGGCCTGAGGCATGCGGGTCAGGCTGCATGGGCGGCCGGGCAGCCGTCCCCCACAGCGCCCTGGCTGTGCTCGGTGCCCACAGCCCCTCAGCTTTGTGTTCCTGCAGGGGTCCCGTCAGGCCCGGGCCCTGGAGCCCGAGTCCCAGCTGGCGCTGGAGGGAGGGCTGGTTGCCAGGCGGTGGGGCCAGCAGGCTGACCGGCCATCACCTCCTGGGGGCCCCCTGCGCTCCGCGCAGGACTCCCCGAGCCCCAGAGTTCTCTGGGTGTGGGTGGGGCCGGCACCCTGCTCAGGCCTGTATGCTGCCCTGGGGGGGGGGTCAGGCACTGCACCCCTTGGGTGCCCTGCCCATCTCTGGAGCTCAGTCCCCACAGCTTAGGTCAGTCCCTGGGCTTGGGGACACTCAGAGCCCGACTGCCCAGCCTGGTGGTTTGCGGGGAGCATGCACGGGCGGGGCTGCAGGTCCGGGCTGGTCTTGGCCGGGTGCTGGTCACCGGGCACCTCCTGTCCTGCCACTGAGCCCACAGCCACCAGTCACCTCTAGGCGGGCAGTGTGGGCAGCAGGGGCCACACCAGCTTCTTTCTCCTGTGCAGGCCCCAGACTGGGTCCCTCGGGGTCTGGCTGGCAGTGGCCGGCCGGCCTGTATGCCCACCTGCTCTGGCAGCGAAGGCTGGGGCGGGTGCGCGGCCACGAGGCTCTTCATGCCGCTCACGTGGGCGTCCCCAGGCCCACAGGGGCCCGCCTGGCTGGGGAGGGGGCGCAGGGAGGCGGCCGCAGGGCCCCCCGGGGGGTCCTCGTCTACTCTTCAGCCCAGAGCAGGTTGAGGCGCCGGCAGGTGCAGGTGGGGTGGGCGCGGGGCAGGTCGGGGGCTCTCAGGCGCCACGGCCCAGAGGTCTGGGGAGTTTGTGGCATCAAAGCTGTGTCCAAAGTGGCCAGAGGTGCCCGCCGTGGCCAGGTGCTCCCAGAGGGTGGCAGGCACATCCCCCGCGCCACCCCGCTTGTGCACGCCACCCCTGCGGCTCGCTCTGCCGCCCCAGTCCCGTCCCGGGGGCCCCGGCCCTCCGGCTCCCTCTGTGCCGCCGTGTGGTGGTGCCTTCGGTCCCCGCCACGGCACCCCCCAGCCCGCGCGCGCCTGTGGCTCTCCTGCCGGCCACAGCCCCCGTGGACGCCCGCTCCCGCTCCGGGCTGCTGGCCTGCCCACTGCCGTGGGCGTTCACACGTGAGACGCCCTGTGTGCTCTGGGGAGTGAAGAGCCTTTGGGGCGGGCTGAGGAGGCCTCGCCGGCCTGGGGCCCAGATGAGCGGTCCCCGGCTGGCGCCCCGCCCACTTCCGGCCTGCCCACCGCCCCTTCGGGCCGTTCCGGGTCCGCCCCGGCTGGCGCCCCGCCCACTTCCGGCCTGCCCACCGCCCCTTCGGGCCGTTCCGGGTCCGCCCCGGCTGGCGCCCCGCCCCCACCCCCGGCCGGCCTGGCCCTCGGCGGTCAGGCTGCACCGGGGGCTGCGTCGAGCTGCCCGGCGGTCCTGCCGGTGTAGGCTGGGGTCCGGGGGCCCGGTGAGGCTCTGCTGCGAGTCCCCTGCAGGCCGTGGCCCTGCCCCCGGTTTCTGGACCCAGACCACCTGGCGGAGTGCCACGCCTTGCTGTGGCACGGGGCCGTGGTGCCCGGCCGCCCGCGGCTCTTGGCTGCGGTTTATGGGCAGGCATCCCGCCCGGTGGTCTGGTGGCCAGTGGTGGCCGCCGCAGGCCGGGTGGTCAGACCCTTGCGAGGGCGGTGGGGGGCCGCTGGGCGCGGGAGCCAGTGCTGGGCCCTGCCCTTCGCGCGGGCAGCCTCCCACCCGCGGGTCGTGGGCGCGTCCACCCCCTGCGCTGGCCGGCTCTCTGCGGCGGGAGCCCCGGCGTGTGCCGGCCGGTCAGCAGGGGGCGCCTGCCCCAGCGGTGCCGCTCCCGCCCAGCCCCGCGTGCCCTCTGCCAGGCCGATGTGGGCCCTGTGCCCCCGCCCAGCCGCGGCTCCCGGGTCCCTCCGGGCCTCCCTGCCCCCTGTCTGGGGCGCACCGGGCCTCGGCTCCGTGTCCCCTTTTCTGTTCCCGGCGGTGCCTTGCCTGCCGGAGTGGCGCAGGTGGCGGATGGGCCGCAGGGCCCAGGGCCCGGGCCGGGCCCCACGCCTGGCCGCCACCCTGGGAACCACAGGTGTCTCCTGCCCGGAGCGCGCGCAGCAATGCCCTGGGCCCAGGTCCGGGGAGGGGCGCTCGGGCGGCCGAGGGCAGGGCCCTGGAGCCCGCTGTGGGACTGCGGTGGACAGGTGAGGCACGGCCAGTCTGACTCCAGGGTCGCATCCGCGTCTAGGGCACCGAGGACCCGTGGGCCGGGGCCCCTCACGGCCTCGGGCGCACCCCTGGAGCAGGGAGAAGGTGCTTCAGGGGCGGGGCGGGCTGGCTGGGGCCCGCAGGAGCCCAGGCGTGTGAGGATGCAGCCCCGCTGACCCCCGTCCCGTTTGCAGACTACGTCTACTTCGAGAACTCCTCCAGCAACCCCTACCTGATCCGCAGGATTGAGGAGCTGAACAAGGTGCGTGGGGGCCAGCGCCCCCCTCCCTGGCCAGGCTGCCGCACCGGCTGGGGGCGGTCTGGGTGCTTCTGGGCACCGGCCCGCACCCCGGAGAGGGGTGTTCAGTCCCAGGTCCCGTGGGCTGCTCCCTGCTGGCTCTGGCAGCGGGCGGGGTCAGGGCCAGCGGCCTCAGGCGGCGAGTGGGCAGCACAGCAAGCCCTCCAGGGTGGGCGCCGCGCGGGCAGGGCCTCAGTGCCCACCGGTCTGCGCTGTGGGCCAGCCCCAGCCCAGCACGCTGACAGGCCCAAAGGACCGGAAGCCCAGGTTCTCGCCCTGACGCCCCTACAGGGGCTGGGGCACCCAGCTGTGGGCTTCCCGCCCCAGCAGTGGCAGCGGGACAGGTGTCCACTGGGCTTCCGGGAGGGCCAGGGAGGGGTCAGGTTGGAGCAGGGACCCAGGGGAGGCCTGTGATGGGCGTGGGGGGTCAAGCAGGCCAGGGAGGCGCCTTGAGGGGAGCAGGAGGCGCGAGGTAGGTCCTGGCAGTGCGCCCCAGGACGGAGTCTGGCCCCCGCCTGCCCGCCCCTTGCGGGCTCTGCAGGGTCCCGTGAGGGAGGGAGTGTCCTGAACTCAGGCGCTGGACCCAGCTCCCCAGGCCGGCGGGGTCGAGCTGAGCACTGTCCAGGGCCGGCCACGGGCCCAGCCCAGGGCAGGGTCTGCCTCATGGGTCCAGGTGCCTTGGTGTCGCTGTCCCAGGTTGCTGGGGACCCAAAAATGCCCTGGCCTGGGTTGCTGCCCGGCCAGGGGCTTCCAGCACCCTGGAGCCCACGCCCGTTCTCAGGTGACCGGGTGGGTGGGTGCGGGCGACTGTCTCCTGGATGGTGGGGTGTTACGCCCGTGCTCCCCCTGGGGGGGCAGGGCTGGCCGGCCCCAGCCTCCGCTTGAGGGCACCGCCCCCCCGACCCCGCTGTTGCAGACGGCCAACGGGAACGTGGAGGCCAAGGTGGTGTGCTTCTACCGGCGGCGGGACATCTCCAGCTCCCTCATCGCCCTGGCCGACAAGCACGCCAGTGAGTCCCGCCCGCCCCGGGCCCCTGCTGCGCTGCGCCCCTTGCCCGAGTGTGCCTGCAGGGAACCCCTGTCCTGCCTGGGCCGGGCCGAGCCGGGCCCTAGTGCGACCGGCTCTGTGGCCAGTTGGCCTGCTCCCGGCAGTGGGCTTGCCGCCCCGGCCCAGGGCTGCTGGTGGGAGCCGGCCGCCAGCCCCCAGCCAAGGCCAAACTGGCTGCTGCCAGGGACGGGGACCCAGAGGCCGGGATGCCTGGGCAGTGTGAGCAGCGGGCCCGGCATCGGGCCCTTCCCTGTCTCCTGGGCTGTGCTGTGAGGGCCGCTCCTCGGCCGGGTGTCCCCATCAGATGGCCAGTGGCCAGCCTGCAGGAGCAGCCAGCTTCTTCATTTTGGCCCTGGAGCCTGTGCGTGCCACCCACACACTCTGGGAAGGAGTGGGAGGCTCGGCCCAACACGGGCAGTATGCCAGGCGTTGTCCAGGAGGGTGCTGGCCCATGTGGCCTGCAGCTGGTGGTCAAGGGTCCTGGGGGTCAGTGTCCCGGCCTGGCTGGGCCCTCGTGGCTCCTCCAAGACATGGTGTCCGTGGTGTGGGGCAAGGCTGTCCCTGGACCTGTGTCCCTGGGGGTGGGGTGCCCAGCACCCGCACGCCCCGGGAGGGATACCTGGTGTGCAGAGGAGGCCGAACACGGGCTTCCCTGCTGCTGGTGGGGGCTGCTAAGGCCTGTGAGGTGGGTGGCCCAGAGGGCGGGGCCCCCCCATGGGCACAGGCCTGCTCCCGTGGGTCCCCTCCGCCGCCACAGGGGGGCAGCAGAGGGCGCGGCACGCCTCTCTCCGGGGCGGGGCGGTGTCCCAGCTCCGGTCAGTGTCCTGCGGGCGGACAGCCTGCACCCCTGACCTGCCCAGTCCCTCTGCTCTAGGCCTGGGTCTGCTCCCTTGAGCTGTGGGGGTCGGGCCAGGGCAAGCCCCCGCACCGCCCGTCTGCGGCCTCTTGGTGGGCCCAGGCTGACCTGCCGGCCTCTCTCATGCAGCCCTGTCAGTCTGCTGCAAGACCGGACCTGGGGCCGACAACGGGGAGGAAGGTACCGCCTCCCCCCTACCCCCGTGGCCCCCTCAGGCCCCCAGTCAGCTACAGAAGGCTGCTGGGGTGGCCGGGGCAGGCTGAGCTCGTGCCTCTGCTTCCAGGCGGCCGGTCCTACCCCTGCCCTCGGCTCTCCGAAGCCGGACCCTGTGGGTGGGGGGGACGTTGGGGAGGCCCCACGGCCACCACCCTGGGGATGCCTGTGTCTGGGGCTGATGCTTGCAGTGTGGCTGACAGGACGTGTTTGTCCTCAGGGGAGACAGAGGAGGAGATGGAGAACCCCGAGATGGTGGACCTGCCCGAGAAGCTGAGGCACCAGCTGCGGCACCGGGAACTGTTTCTCTCCCGGCAGCTGGAGTCACTGCCAGCCACCCACATCAGGTCGGCCCCCATCAGGTCACCACCCCCAGGCCACCCCATCAGGTCACCCCCCACCCCAG